TTTGATGGAGGTCTCTGTAGGCTTCAACTGCTTGCCTGGCTACTCGTTTGGGATCCTTGCCGGCAGTGTCAAAGCCGATGTCATCAACCCAGCTGGAGAGGTGGATGTGCTGGTGTTGTGCATGCCAGGGTGCCAGGGCTGGAGTGAGCACTGCTTTGGCCAGGAGTGGAGCCTGTGGACATCCTGCTGGAACGCCCCTGCTGACGTGAAAGAAGGGTGTCATTTCTTGCTCGGCCATGATGGCTTTGGGGCCTGTGTATACTTGCATGGCAAGTTCCAGCATCAAGGGTGGATAGTTGATGGCCTGTGCTTGTGTTTGTAGTGCCTGTAGTTGAATTGTGTCGTAGAAGGTCGACAGGTCCATCAGTACGGTGACTCCATGCTGTTGGTTGGCCCTGGTCACTTCTTGTCTGAGAAGTCTCTCTAGTGCTACCTGCAGGACGTTCGCTCCGGGCCTGGCTCGGTCGTGGTTCATGAAGTCCGGGAGGTCTTGCTGCCATGCGTCAAGGACGTCTTTCCGGAGTCTGCACCAAAGCCGGTACAGAGTGGATGTGAGCGTGATGGGGCGCTCGATGGTTGTGTTTTTGGGCAGCATGACAACCATGTGCATTTGTAATTGCGTTGGAAGCTGGGCAGTGCTTTCCATTTCATGGATCAGTTGGAGCAAAGGTCCTAGAGCTTGAGGTGGTGCCGTGCGCAGGAGTTGCGCGGAGACTGCATCCGGTCCACTCGCTTGGTCTGGGAGCTTCTTGATGGCATGGGCGAGTTGTCCAATGGTGATGGCCTTGAGGGCTTTGGCTTGTTGGATGGCTTGCTCCTGCAGGTTGGTTCTCTGGATAGGCTGGTTGTCCTGACGAATCTGCCAGAGTTCACTCCAGTCTGCAAGTCTATGTGTCATTCGCTGATCAGCTTCAATGGTTCGATATGGCCTTTGCCAGGGGAGTTCGCTGCTCTTGAGGCTCCTGAAAAGTCCTTTGAGCCCTTTGGCGTGGCCTTGGGTCAGCCATGTTTTATACTGGAGGTGAAGCTCATCATTGGCTGCCTGCTGGGCTTCTTGGAGCTGGTGCTGGATGGTGTGCATGATGAGAGTGGCTGCATGCTCATCTTTGTAGGCATGCCAATGGTGGCAAGTGTCCAGGAATTGACCCCAGGTGGGTGAGCCAAGCCACTTGGTCTGGATGTCCTTGAGGGCGGCCATGAAACCCTTGGTTGGACCACCGGGCTGTGTGAGTGGCTGTTGGTGTGCAAGTCGAAACCTGGCCTGGACCTCCTCCCAAAAGGCAGCCTTGCCCTTTTTCCAGGTGCCTCCTGTTTTCGGTGTGGTCAATGGCTTTATGGTGACCCTCAGGTTGCTGCCTCGGCCTTGGGCAGCCCATGGATGCTCTTGCAACAAGTATTGTTCAGTGACTGAGATCCAATTGGCCCATTGTTGTGCCGCTGTGTTGACTGGGATGTCATACAGGTTGAGCTCATGGGCCTGAGTTTTGAAAGTGGACCACGGCCTGAAGTCAATGTCTGGGACAGCTGGTAGTGCTGGAAAATATTGGACTTGTCGGAATTCTCGTGTGGCAGCCTCAATGTCCAAGTGGAGTGTCAAGAGAGCATGAGGTCTCCATGGGACTGCCCAGTCAGTGGTCAGTGTGGTTGTTCCGGACAGGTCTGTGTGCACCAGGCTGAAGTCGATGACACTGCCTGACAGCGTGCTCACATCAGGAGCTAGGATCTCGAAGTGGAATTTGGAAGGCAGGACCGTGCCTGAGACTGCGCTGGGTTTGTTTTGCCAGTCGCCGATCACTATGTACGGATGTGTGGTGGCCTGCAGGACTGCCAGGATTTTGGCTATGATGGTGGCATTGGTCTCGCTCTGGATGCTCTCATTGGTTCGGAGGTATAGCCCTATCACCATGATGGTCTGCGTGGTGGCTTGCCAGAGGAAGGCCTGAAATCCACATCCCTGGAGGGAGAAGGCTTCTACTGGTGTGAGCCCGCACGAAGGGTCTCCAAGGACCAGGATGCCACCATGTGTGCCAGCGTTGTCGGCATTGGGCCAGGCTGGTACCCCAAAGGCAGTTCGTCCCCTTGATGGTGAAGTACTGACAGATCTGTGCATGCTTCTGTGGGTCCAAGTGGGTCTCGACAAGGACATAGGGTTCACTCTTTCGTGTCCAGTACCAGTCGATGACTTGGCGTCCGAACTGCGTGACATTGGCGTAATGCAGCTGGTTATGCGTTTGTTCCAGTCTGGGTCGCTTCTCCGGGCTGGGGTGAAGTGGTGGATCAAAGTCTGGTTCTTCCTGAGGCGGAAGCATCTGGATGACTTGCTGTGTGGTTCTGAAGGTATCAGCCCTTACTGCCCAGATTTGCATCACTTGACTGGCCAGTTGTGGTGTCAAATGTGGTAGATAGATTGGCACCTTGCCATCATCTGCAAGCCACATAAGGTCTCTGTAGATCAGAATGGCAAAGTAGTGACCGGACTCGTGGTTCGCCCCTCGATGACAGATCAGCACCGAAGGGACGAATTCCGTGGAAGCTCTGGCGAAGCCATCCATGGATCTGGGGGCTGTGAAGGTGCCATATGGATTCAAGATCTTTTTGTGCTTGGTTGCAACCCCATCCAGTTTTGTATTCCTCGTAATGTGCATGACCAGGATGGCTTTGTCATCAATGAGGTATCGGCCACAGCCTTCATTAGCCCAACCATTCATCAAGCTCTGAAGTGTGGTGTTTTCTGGCCATGTGTCTGGGAAGTCTACCAAGAGCGGTTGTTGCACGGTGTCCGTCAAAAAGCCTCTCTCTTGGATCTCAGCGAATCTGTAGTGAAAGGCCCTGCTCTGTGAGTGGTTCCAGAGAGTGTTGACAAAATGGTTCGCATCGCCTTGGACATTGAGATCGTGTTTCTTCCAGAGTCTGTGTAGGCCAGGTAGGGTCTGGATGTCCACAATTTCGGCCAGCTCTAAGGATTCTTGCACTGCATCATAGAGATTTCCCCATGGTTCGGTGCGCGTTTCTTGTAGGAGTGCACATGTCCAAGTGAACGCTCGCCACGGGGCGTTGGCAAAGCATCTGGAGCTGGGATTGCCAACGGACATAGACAGGTTTTGCAAAATGCATTCTGTCGTGGAGCCATAAAGGCTCTGCATTCTGAGTTTGGTGTCTGCCTTGTGGTGCTGCTGCTTGAAGTAGCTGGCTCCACCTTTGATCTGGATCACTTGAGCTCCTGGAGCTCCCAAAAGCTCGCCATCAGTGTCGGTGGCGGGCTGCGCTAACGTGTCAAAACTTATCCTCCTTGATGGTAAGGAAACTGTGGATTGGTGGCTGGTGAGCTCCCCTTCACCAGTCAGGTGTGTGTCCACTTGATGCTGGTTAATAGGTGAGCTTGTGGTTTGGTTGGTGTCTGTTCCCCTGCACCTCCACAAGAAGACCCCTGCTGTATTGAGCCGGATGCAGCACGGCAAACCGGTGTTGGATTTGGTGCCTCAAAATCATCCCATGGAATCGGCACTTGAAATGCTGGGATGCCTGTAGTGGTCCAAGTGAAAGTGTTACCCACACTGCCCCCCTGTCGGTGGCCCTTCTGTGTCCGTCTTGCGTCGTTTGTTGACTTCGTCCTCATCAGCTTTGGTCCTCTTCAAGAGTCCATGGAGTTGAGATCTTTGTTCATCGGACAGATCAATTCCGAGACTCGTGACGAAGGTTTCGACGGCCATAGGGATGGGCAGGTCCTTGGGTTCTGCTGGTTCAAGACCCGTGGGTTGTGGGGTCAAGGTGGTGATCTTCATGTATTGGTCCGAAAGTTGTTTGAGCCGCTGTTGACCTTCATTCAACTTGCCCTGAAGTTCTTGCATGTCTTGTAGCATGGAGGCATACTGGGTCTTGACTTGATCTAGCTTGGTTTGAAGCTGGGTCTTCTTGATTGAGACAGACTTCAAGTCCCCCACCTGTGCCTTGAGCTTTTGTGCAAGATCCTTTTCGGTATCAGGCAGAGGTTGGGTCAGCTTAGTGACCACTGCTTGAACTTCCTGTGGTAGTGCCGTCATGTGGGTCTTCAGAAGTTCTGTCAATTCTGGCTCTTCTGGTGGCGGAGGTCCAAAGCCGAGGGCCATGAGCTTGGCTTGGATGCCTTCCGGTATCACCTCCCAGGTTGTGGCCAAGAGTTCAGCTGCTGCGGCTTGATCTTTGTTCTGTTTGAGAGGTCTTGGCCGGTAAAGTCCAGGTGGGCTGTCGAGCAACTGGGTTCCTGGTGACTTCTTTGGCCATGCTTTGCCATGTCCAAGAGGCTTGGCTTGACCATGACCTTGACCTTTTCCTTTTCCGGTAGTGGCATAGTGATCCCACCATTGACCACACTTCCTGCAGCGTGTGCCTGGGCGTAGTTTGTCCTGCCAAATCCAGTTGGTGCATGCCTGATTGTGGCAAACCATGTAGTTTCGTCCCCACTGCATGATCACTGCACCGAACACGTTCTGGCCTGGAACGTTCTTTATGATGTAGGGATCACGGGCAAAGTGATCAGGTAGGGCAGGATGTCCCCAAGGCGGATGGAAAATAGATGAGCTTTGTCTGGAAGCCAGTGAGGTTATCCAGGGCGAGCTCTGCCAGGTGCCGTAGAAGTTCTCAGTAAGGAGGAAGGTGTTCTCGGCTATGGCTAGCAAAGAATGTGTTGTAAGTGACCTTCAGGATGGGCCAACCTTGGTCACAAAGTGCAGAACTATGCTCGCCTGGGGAGATACGCACGAGCCTGTCTTCGTGGGCTGCAGGCTTGGACCGCTCGTGGCTTGAGCCATGTATGTATGTATGTATGTATGTATGTATGTATGTATGTATGTATGTATGTATGTATGTATGTATGTATGTATGTATGTATGTATGTATGTATGTATGTATGTGAGACATCAAGAGGTTGATATAAAATTATAGAATATTCCTCCCATCACCCGTCTGAAAAAGAAGAGCTAGATCTTCCCATGCCCTCCGCCCGAACCCGAGACGAAAACAGCCTCCGTGGCTTGGAAGCTATAGGTGGCCGCTTCTGCCTTGTCGAGGTGGCCTGAAATGGACACCTCATTTGGTCTGCTCGGGGCTCGAACGGCTCGAAAGGCTCGGAGGCTCGGCTTGTCCTTCAGAGACTTCACCAACGGCCAAGTGATCTTTGGCAACCAAGGTCTGGGTCTGATAGAACATGTTTGGGAGCTTGGTGGCCAACTTTGATGTGCTGACTACCCATCAAGTGGAATCTTCACCACCAGCCATTCCACGTTGTCACCAACTCATGTGCTAGTTGCAAGACATGACCGGTCCAAACGTGGAGTCTGCGCCGATTCAGTGATGTGCGCAGCAAACCCGCTGATGTAGCATAGAGGGTGGCTACAGCATAAGAACTAGCGTATTTGAGGGGGGGATGACAAAAGCCTGGCTCCGCTTCTGACCTGTATTTCAATATGTCCGAAGACATATGGCATAATGGGTCAGAGCAAGCCTTCCTTGGAAAGAGTGGCAAGCCCCACCACCGCTTTTAGCCCAACAATCATCAAACAAATATAAAACAATCCCATACAGGCCAAGGAACGTTCGGCGGCAGCAAAATCCCGGGCAGCTGTGCCTGGGATTTTGGGCACCAGTCTCTGGCAACTGTCCATGGATTTATATGATATAACTCCTATGAAATCAGTGGGTTTGGGCCCTCCCAAACAGGAATCAGGAATCATACCAACATTCCCGTAGGGCGACCGTCCACCATCAGTATGGCGATGGCTTTGGATGCATCCATCCTGAGGACATCACCAGTTTGCCTGTTCTAATTCACTAATTGACAAGTCGCAAATGATTGAAGCTGAAGAGGCGAAATTGCAGATCCAACTGGTCAGCCAATTCTATATCCTGTTCTGAGAAAGCACTATCGCCTGCCAAATGGGCAAGTTTGATACCTAGTGGGATTGGAGTGCGAGCGCGCACTTCTAAATACCAAAGGGTGAGGTTGACGAAGCCCAATCAACTCTTTTGGGGATGTTGTGGCCCAAACCCAGCTCCATACGCTCCGGATCATGTTCCTTTTTGCGGGGCGACTGCTTTGCCTCCCCAGCAAAGTCATGCTGGAAGCTCATGGAGAAGTTCAGGGGTCTGTGCACCTGGTGTCAGCTGATCAAGGCCCGAGCTCCAGGGAAAGAGGCTAGACACGTTGACCGTCAACCGTTGACCCCTGCGCATGGTTGTATGTGTAAGTAAAGGCTTTCTGATTGCTTTTCGGGTTGCCATCCACCAGCTGGGTGGTTGCAAACCAGGATCCTCAGTTGCACACCAGACCATAGGTTTTGTTATCCTTTGTTCCAAAATAGATCCTCCTCAGCCAAGCCCCCTATGACTCCTCTTTGGGGCAAAAAGATAGGCCCGGCTTCCTGAAAACCAAAATGCAGGTGGTCTTAGAGTCTTGCATCACCACGATGTTCAGTTGTTTGCTTAGTGCTCACCCCTCCAGAACTTGGAAATGCTAGTGCTCATGCTGACACCAAGGACCTTCAGTCTCCCGCACCTCCAAGTGAGCTTCCACCCAAAAGCCTTGGCGAACACTTGACCTTGGGCAGAACAAGTTTTGGGCAATCTTTCTCGTGAGAGGGAAATCGAAAGGAGCCAATCTTGGTTTTCAACTTGTCCGCGTCATTGGCCGGATTAATATCTGGAATAGAATTGTGTTGTTTTAATACAGTAGATGCCTGGAATAACTTGCAAACACCGAGAGAAACCTTGGTAATGTTGCTTCAGGATGCCAAATGTGCTCTTTGTTCTTCCGTGTACAGTGCCACTCTGGAGCAAGCCACCCAGCTAGATCCTTCAGATCCACGTGCAGCAAGATCCCCTCCTCGCAACGAGAAACGCTGAACGCTGAAAGTTGGTTTGCTGATAATGACACCGCCGTCCTCTGGGAAATACACCAAATATTTAGAAGGTGTCGGGGGAAGGGCATTCATTCACCTGCAAGAGTCTTCCTGTTGCAGGAAGAGCTACGTTAGTGGAACTTGTAAAACCTGCAGGACCCAGAATCCACAGCCGTCCGTCTATGTGGTGCCGTAGGACTCCTCTGCTTTTTTCCATGGAGAGTACATTCCAAACTCCACTGAAGACACATGCCGCATGCCGTGACATGCTATTTGGCGGCTATTTACATTGACGATCAGGGGCAGGCAAGACGACTTGTGCCAAGGCGCGGCTACTGTTTCCATTCAGCAGATCAAGGGAAACACATGAGTCTGACAAAGGCTTTTCTCTATTTAAACATATTATGTTTTCGTCCAAAAGGTGAAGGTACCAACTGAGTTCCATTTGAGCTCATTGCGGGCGAACTGGTCTTCCGTTCCCAAAGAACTCCATCTCAAGGTGCTGTTTTCGATCTTCATCGCATTTGGTGAAGTGAAGTGAAGTGAAGTGAAGTGAAGTGAAGTGATGAGAAAGGCCTAAGGGGTGGGAAAGGGAAAAGAATATGGTGGGTCCAACAACGAGAGGTTTGTTTGAGGATGTTTGGGGGCCCCAGCTGATACATTTGTCAAATCCTGTTTCATTGCAAGAGTAGTCTTGAGGCAAACGGAAGCTTAGTGCACAGAAAGGGTTTAGCAGCTTGGCAAAAACCTATTCTACCAACTTCGTGGAAGGCCCAGGACATTCGTGGAACCCGAGGCTAATCGTCGACGTTTCGTGGAATGGTGGGGTAGTAACAAAACGCAAGACACCGTCGCAGAACTTTGCGGAAGGTATTTTTGATGCACTAACTTCGTATAAGCAGTCTTTTTGCTGACCCCGTTTCTCCACACACCCTCCATAAATTTAGCCCGCTTTCTTGTTTGACACCTAGAAAGGAATTCCTTTCTCCCAAATTTTAATAGGCAATAGGGGAGGACTAGGATGGCAAGGGCTTTGACGCCTGCAGTTTTCCACCAGCTGACCCAGCTGACCCCACCGCTTCTCGCGGTCCCACCGGATCCTGTGTCGCGTTCGCCACCGTCAGGGGGCCTGGCGTCTCCGACCAGCGGGAACCTGCACGCAGATGTGGGAGGGGCGAAGCGCGGAAGCTGTTGGTATTAAAAAACAGAAAAAAACACGATAAATCGTTGTTTTTCTGTTTCATGGCACAAACCTAGCAGGACTTCGAAGTTTGGGTTCATGAGTCCGTGTTGTGCAGTGGCCCATGAGTCGACCTGAAATCCCCACACCAAAGGCTAGTCCATGTTCCCTTCCCACAAACAGGGGAGACCTTTTGCTATTAGGTTGGAGGCCATGGCTAGTACTACACAGATGGGAGCTGTCAAAATCCCACTCTGCCCAACCTTCGGCATGCAGGATACAGTGTTGTGATTGACTCATGCTGCACTGATGAGGATCGTTGTTGGCAAGCACAACGTTTCAAAGAGACGGGGGCGATGCCCACTACACTGCATGTGGTCATTCAGGAATTATGTCCACACGACCAGAATATTCACCATGCTGAATTGTTAGACCTTGTTCGTGCACTCGAATGCTTTCGGCATGCTGTATTCCATGTTGATTCAGCTAGTGCCATTGCTACCTTTCAAGAGGCTTTCACCCTCCAGACTCGGCAACTTCACAGACATCCACAACCTGCCCTTTGCAGACGCATTCGTAACCTCCCCCACGTTGATGTCAACCGGGTGGTTAAGATCAAAGGTCATGATAATCCTCACTCTCTCCCCGACCTGCAGTGCTATCATGCCCTAGGTAATGCTGCTGCAGATAAGGCTGCAGAAGACGTATGCCTGACTTGTTACTCAGCCTTGACCACCCCTTGGCTTTAGCAAGTGCATCAACGCAAGCAGGAGCGACATTCGTTGACCGAATTTTACAAACTGTCCTTCGAGTTGCAGCGCTTTCGCAAGGAATATGAAGCGCATGTACCAGCTTCCTTAAACCCCAATGAGCCTCATCCCATGCGCCGGGCTTCCGCATTTCCCGAGTTCATGGCTAAATGGGAGCTACCGCATGGCTGGCAGTTTAATCTTGATCAAGCCTTAAGTGCACAGTTCTTTGAACACTCCTATTGGGGGTCCACCCTTTCGACATGTGTTCTCGAATGGCTTAGCCACTTCCGATGGCCACCGGCTGATCCTGCTGCCGCCCCTGAGCACACTCAAGTTGGGGTTTCTTGGATGGAACTTGCTTTGAGTTTCATGTTTTATGCGCATGGCTACATTCCTTTGCATCGCTCCTCCGAGGGACCAAATCACACCTTCGCACTGAAGCACTTGCGTTCAGTTATACTTGGAATGAATGTGCCACACAATTTGCTACCATTTTTGGCCAGGTGGTCTCCTTGTGTGGTGAGCGCGTGCTTCCTGAGTATGTCCATCCGCTCGCATTTGTTCCTTGTACCGCCAGGGTGCGGGCACCTGTGTTTTTGGCTGTCGCACCGACCGACTTTTCCACACCAAGACAAGGTCGCTTTTGTCCTCCAAGAGGAACTCCAGAAGCGCATTAGGCCTTGCACATACAACTGGTGGCCTCACATCGATCTTAATCCGGACCATGCTGCTTGCCGGTTCACTTGGCAGGTCCCTGTGATGACATGGAATGTTCTTCGGAAACTTTTGAAGGCCGGCAACAAAAAGGTCCGAGAGGCCAGACTTCGTCGGCTGTGATGTCGGTCTTTCCTTCCTACATCCTGGACACCATCTCCTGATCCGCATGCTTTTTACGTCTCTCTAGGTTGCCTTCAGACCTCGCCACTCAGCCCCTTCAAGCAAAAGCCATGGCTAGTAGGTTGGAGGCCATTGCTATTTCCCAAAAACAGGGGAGACAAGACTTTGATTTTGCTCCAACTCCTTCAGCGAACTTCCTCACCTCGTGCTCGAAGAGATAGCTGGCCATCAGGGAAGAGCCTTCCAGCACCTCGGAACGCCCGTACTGGTATATCTTACGTTTGAGTGAATGGGTGATATCTGGGAAGGTTGGGGAACACTTCTTAGTGACCTTCAGAGTAATTTAGATTCCTTAAATACAGGGATCAAATAGCATCCTAAATGCCCATTAAAAGCATCAATACTCTGTACTCTTCAGGTCCTTGCTACATATGTTCTTTTCTCTGAAAGAAGGCTTCACCTTGCGTTTAAAAAAAGTTAATTGAAGCGAGTGTTATTAAACAGCACAAAAAACGAAAAGGACCGCGTTTGAAGAGTGAAGAGAAGGAGGCTGAGCCAGTGTTTGCCCCAACTCTCCAGCAAAGCCCCGTGCCCAGCGGAGCCACTCGGATCTGCAAGGAGCCCGCGGCTTTTTGCAAGAAGCGCCGGTACCTCGCAACAAGGAAGCTACGAACATAACAAGGGCATCGCTACTAATAGCAGGGGCATTACTACTAGTAGTTTCTTCTAGCTACTAGTAGTAATGCCGCAATGCCCTTGCTACCACAAAAGAACGCAACCTCTGGCACAACTGGGGACCAACGAAGTTGATTTCTTGTCGCCCAAATGTTGATCTCGGGGTCTGGGTGCCGGGGAAAAAGTTTTAGCTGTCTAAGTTCCTTGCTCACAGCCAACATCCAAGCACAAAAGCCAAACATAGCAGCACAAACCACGATCCAGTCAAGCAAGCGTCAAGCAGTTCTCAGGCAACGCAAATACAGCAGGCAAACAAATTCATGTATATATGTGTATATATGGTGGTTGATCAAAATCCCTTCTTGCTGGAAGGCCATTCTTCGCGAAAAAATAACATGCGCGAATCTTTCGCGAACTCCATGTTTAACTTTCGCGGGGAGTATATCCTCTAGAAATCGTCTTGGTTGAGTGGTTCTACATAGCAGCCTGAGCACTTCCATCAAACACCATTTTGGAACTGCAGACGAGGTTGCGGTATTACAAGGCAGATTGGCGAGAACTCTCAATCACCACCATTGGATGAATCAGCAGAACTGGTGGAGGATGAGCTGGAAGAGCTATCAACGGTTGTTGCGCTCATCTTGCTAGGTCTGTCGCTGCTTGGCTTGGGCAGGGGTCCACAAAACATACCTTCACATTCGCCTATGCTTTCGCGGAACTTTCGCGAATCTTTCGCCAAAAAATGTCGCGTCATTGGTGGGTTTCTAGGCGCACAGCGTAACATCCAGTGGCAGCAGCAGGAGGAGGAGTAGTACGCAGTGGTAGTGGTAGTGGTAGTGGTAGTGGCAGTGGCAGTGGCAGTGGCAGTGGCAGGAGCAGCAGCAGCAGCAGCAGCAGTAGTTGTTGTTGTAGCTCAGACAGCACTGTTGCAAATCACTGATGATGGTATCGCCTCTTCATGTATACAATATATAGTATAATAGACTCGTTCGCAAATCTTTCGCCAGAAAAAAATAACTTGCGCGAACTCGAGAAAAAACTTTCGCGGACAACTTGAAGAGGCTCTCAGTGGCATAGGCCTTATGCCGACCTTTCGATCGACTACCATATATATAATATGTGTGTGTGTCCACCCCTGGACAAAGGGTTTTCCAACACTTTTTCTCACAGGCAGGGGGCAGTGACAGAGTTTGTGGAATCACTGCCAACGAAGACGTCCACATTCTCTGGTGATGCATCGGGAGACGTCCTGATGTGTACCTGCTTCAACTTTTGAACACGCTGTCCAATCCTTTGGTTTGATTCATGGTGGTTCCACACGATACTTTCCCCACAAACAGGTTTCCCACCGCAGCTTTCAGCCGCTTGTGCAGTGCAGCCAGCAGAGCGAGTGAAACAATGTTCAACATTTCAAGTCACCGGACCTGTTCACCTTGCAGTTCCATCACCGTCCTTCCCATCGGAGTAATTGAGTTAACTGAAAACCAGTGTCAGAGTGTGTCTCGCTCAGCCGTCCCACTCGGGTGCTGAGTGTGATCCCCGTCACAGGGGCGCCGATCTTGCATGGGAAAGCAACAACCACAACGCACCACCACTCACTGGACTCTCACAGGAAGTCACCGACACCCTCACCGAATCAACTGACACACTGGCCGCCGGGCCAAAAAACGGTTCTTGTGGAATACATCGGATATCAGCTTTCAGATTTCGGATCCGTCATGTTCATTTCTCCACGTCATGCTTGTTTCTCCACGTTTTGCCATATCAATGCCGTGACTTTTTCATCAGCAGGACTCAAGTTTGGGCATTAGAGCTCTTCAATCTAATTCGAGATGCACGAACACACACCTGACAACAAGCTCACCTCCAGCACCACTTTACAACATACTCTCCATCAACACCAGGCATGATACTTTCAACAACATTATGACAATACAACTCGGCACTTTTCCGCTGCATCTTTGCTGCTGCGCCGCGCCGTGCCATAGCTACGACTACGATATGCATTTTCCGTGGCCATACGCTCACGCCACGCCACCACCATTACCTACCACACAACCTCAACCCACATGGCCGCTGCCACAGCCGTCAACTGCACCCACCTTTCCCTCGCCACAACCATCGGCATACCCTCACCCACAACCACAACCATTTCAACCACCACCTTTTTTGTCCAGTCCGACCGCCACTGCACTGACCTACGGCACTCCGTCCACCTGGACGTTTGTGCAACCATCTCACATGCCACCGCAGCCCGCACATCCAACTCCAGTATTTCCATCAGCAGCACCTCCCCCTTCATACCTGTTGCCACCACTACATCCCACACCACCGGCTGAACCTCCTCCCCCCCACTACACTGACACATCCCCTTCCAACACCACAACAGGCCGCGATTGCCCATCACCCATCCACAGACCCACAATGCGCCATCCCCCAGGGCGTTTGGCAACCATACTCAGCCTTTCCCCCAGTCACACAACCCCCACAACAGACGCCATCGGACCCCACACCATCCATTACATCCGCGACACCAGCTCCTGGACCTTCACTACCTGCAACGGACAAGCTTGACACCACCGCCTCACCGGCACCACAACCACCTTCCCCACAGCCACCACACAGCAGTCGCCGCCACCACCACAAGAGCCGACGCAAGTCCGATCATCACCGCCGAGGACGCCACCACCACCGCCGCCGACATCGACATCACCACCACTCAAAGCACCACAGCGCAACCCGGCGACGCCGTTCACCCTCGACATCCACTTACACATCCAGCCTTACACCATCCCGCAGTCGCTCACCACCACAACCCATCGATTTACGCCCCAACACTGAACACACCAACCCCGACCCCTCTCAATTTCACACCACAGCCGTCCTTCGTCGCCCAATCAACCGTTGGCGACCTCCACCCAACTTTCACACCTTTTCACCTGCAGACCAACTCCTAGAATGGCTTGAATTCCACGCCACCCAACTCGACAACCCCAACCGACCACAGCACCAGTACATTGCCAATCTCCTCACAGACTGCAACATCACCTACAAGGAGATCACCGATTTCCGGCAATATACTCACGCCAGGTGGAACGACACAACTCACCAATACGACCAATTCCAATACTATGCCATTTCACTTCCTTTCCTCAACACACAAGCCACCACACCAGAACCGCCCGCGGTTTCCCGAGCCACATCAACCCACCGGGAAGTCGCCCACATCAACGCTGGCCATACAGGCCCGGTCGGCAACATTGCCAACATTCTACGCCAAGGTCGATTTTTACCCAGCACACTTCACTTTGCCAACTACCCTGGCTTTTTTGCCCAGGGTGTCCGCATCACCCACAATCAACCCCATGATCACAACGAATTTGCCCGTATCATCCACAACACCTGGCAACTCCACAAGAACTCCCATTCCCTTATCATCACACTCCTTGCTTGGGGTGCCGCCACAAAATATACCTCCGGAGGTGAAGAACATGCCATGAACCTCCTCAACGATTACCACGGCGCAGTCTTCCACCAGAAGGGCCGCTGCTGGGTGATCCACCCGGACCATGCCATTGTCAAAGGACTGGCCTGGTCCACAAACTCCACTCCACCGGACACATAACACCACTGTCCAACACCTCCACACCACTACCACCTCTACCTCCACCTTTTGTCTCACACCACCACATAACCTTTGCTTATAGCAGCCAAAAAGCGCCTCTTGCAGCGGCTACGCGGATTCTGAACCCTCAATTTTTCAAGCTCTACAGGTTTTGCTCTAAAAAATCTTATTCCGAATCTTACCAGCTGTCTTGATGAAGTTTCTCACATGTCGGAGTTTCATGCACTTGATTGTTCAATCGGACTTGCATTTTCGCACCATGCCCGTGGGAATTTGATGCTCGTTTAATTCATATGCACGGCCACGTGATGACGCGCTCCCGCAGATCAGCTGCTGTCCTGCTGCCCTGGCGCGCTGCCGCAGCAACCTGTGACGACTCTGTGTTACTGTACATCCCTATATCTCCAAGTTATGAGCAGCACACTGACACCTCCACACAACGACACCCCAACTCTCCGAACCGCAGTGGTACTTTCGCAGGTCCAAAACCTGCTCAGACAAGCAACAGATATTGTAGCACACCTTCACACTCACTTCCTCCACCACCTCCACCAAGCGGATCCCACTTTCCGCCAACACTTTCAGCCACTCCCAACACCGCCTATCCACCCTATACGTTTACCATCCACCACCTCCTCCTGTGACTCAGCACCATCTCGACCACCCATCCGTTTACCAGCACCACTCTCAAAAGACTCCGACGACACACCAACAACACCCCCAGCTCCACAACCTGCTCCAACACGCAAGCGGAAGCAACCACTCTCACCACCACTGAACCAACAAGCGGACTGGGACGCATGGGACGGCGACGCCGATTGCCGCCTGGTTGAACTCAAAGAAAACCCCAGACTTCGTCCCAACTGGGTTACTGTGGCTCGCCGAGTGGGCTTCTCAGTCGAGCAATGTCAAGCCCGATGGCAAGAACTCAAAGACATGCAACGTCAGCAAGACCAGCAACTTTCCTCCACACCACTACCAACCGAACCACCACGACAAGCACCTTCCCTCTCACCAACACCCACCTCACCAGCAGTTTCCCCACCACCACATTCACAACCGGATTTTTCCCCTTCCCCCAAGACAACGCCACCGCCTTCACCACATCGAACACCTCCCGCTGCTGTGCTGCTGCCGCCGACTGCTGAGCGAGCGCCTAGTGAGAACAGTCATCCGGAGAAATCTCCACTTACGCCCGTTGGCAGTTATTTCATATGACCCGTTTCACCCCGCTTTCTCTACGGCGTGCCGCAGGACAAATCCATTGACACGCAGTGACAAGTTGTTTTTCACGCCCGTTCTACTTTCGCCATTTTTTGGACAACTTCGGTCTTTCATGTTCTCAGGCTCA